AAACACATGTATTGTGTGATTATATAATATTCATTTGCATGAGAGTTGTTATCTATTATTCATCGTCGGGTAGTTTATTCACATGAGGCGGACCTTATTAATTCGGGGCGTGACATATGGTGACTCGTTCATATCCTCCTGGTGGACATGAACATCAGATGAGGAAGGCAGCACTTGGGTTGTATCTTAGAGCCGTTGCACTTCGGTTGTACCTTCACGTAGGGAGAAACAACGACTTTAGGACAGTAATTACATGCCTTTCAATCTCCAACTCTTTCTTACTCTATATGAATTTACTTACTTTCATATTTTATTTATTGTAAATCTCTTAATTATTTTATCAATTAAATTATATTAATGCATAACATTTTTCTAACATTCTAAAGCCGTTGTTTTTTATAGAAGTGTCCTGAGTATTATTTGGTTTTGTGGGACTGAATGTATTGTCCACAATTCTCTATAGTAGATAAAATAGTTTTTTGCTTTGCCTTAAGGGAAAAGTTCTAGTTGTCCAGTGACTTATTTTTGTTCTTTGAAAAATAAAAATTCATCTTTATAAAAATAATTTCAGTTCTAAAAATAGTTTGTGCTTCTATATAAAATATGACTAGAGAATTAATTTGACACATACCAGTTTGTTATATTTGCATATATATCGTCTCTGCATTAGTTCTATTTATTTAAAAATAATTATTTCATTTGGTTGTATAGCATTACTTATTTGAAATCATTGTTGTTGGGTAACACTGTCAATTTGTTGTAAAATGGTATTTACAGTAATGCTTTTTTGGACTGTTACTTTATGCAATCAATGATATATTGTTGGCAATTTGGATCTGGAACTGTTATATTAGAATGCTTATTTTAAAGTAATAAAGATTTATTCACTCTAAATTGGCACTGTAATATATTACTATAGGATCTAGTGGCTTCTTTCCATACTGCTATTGCGTGTGGTCATATGGTAGAATTATATGTAGGAAGTACTGATTATGATGGTTTGGTTATCTACGTTTAAAAATTGTTGACTTGAGCAATTAAGTATGTATTATTTTAGAGCATTGTGATTATTATGGAATTTTAAAGTATCATTGTGGGTGCCATGCTAATCTGCCGTAAGCAGTTCTTCGAGGAATTTCATAGACATGGGAAGTTATTCAAAGGCATTCCTAGCCCCTTCATCACTCTTATCCCTAAGAAGGATTGCCCAGTTACTTTGGCGGATTATCGACCAATCAGTTTGCTTGGTCTATGTACAAGATACTCTCTAAAGTGCTTGCAAATAGAGTGAAGAAAGTTTTACATAGGGTGGCTAGTAATGTTCAGTCTGCTTTTTTGAAAGGTAGGAATATCTTGGATGGGGTTCTGATCGCCAACAAAGTTGTTGGCTGGTGGAAAACGTGTCATCAGAAAGGAGCGATATTAAAACTTGATTTTCAAAAAGTGTATGACTCAGTAAATTGGGGTTTTTTGCTGCATATGATGGAAGGGTTTGGGTTTGGAGCTCGGGTCATAAAATGGATTAAGGACTGTATATCTTCAGCAAGGGTTTCAGTTTTGGTTAATGGGTCACCTTAAAAAGGACTTAGACAAGGTGACCCATTGTCTTCTTTTCTGTTCAATATTGTTGCTGAAGCATTGAATGTTTTGATGGTCAGAGCCAGGAACCTGGGTCTAATTAGAGGTGTGAAGGTTGGGGGTGGTGATGTAGGTTTAACACACTTTCAATTTGCGGATGATACAATCATATTTTGCAAAGCGGATAGGGGGAAGTTTCTAACTATTAAAAGAATTCTTTGCTGTTTTGAGTTAATGTTTGGCCTTAAAATAAATTTTCATAAGAGTAGCGTGTGTGGTGTGGGTGTGGAGGATACAGTTGTGGCTGATTTTGCTGAGATTCTGAAGTGCAAGAGTCAAACACTTCCGTTCATCTATTTAGGCCTTCCTTTAGGGGCAAGCTCTAGAAGGTTGTCTATTTGGAAGCCAGTGTTGGATAAGTTCAAGCTTAAGTTAGCTTCATGGAAGAGGAGATTTCTATCATATGGGGGTAGAGTTACATTGATCAAATCAGTCCTAAATAGTTTACTGGTGTACTATCTTTCCTTGTTTAAACTACCTGAAGGGGTAGCTAAGGCTATCAATAGAGTGCAAACGGCTTTTTTATGGGGTGGTGCAGAGTTGAAGAGGAAGTTGCACATGGTAAAGTGGGGGGATATTACAAAAGGTAGGAATCAAGGAGGCTTGGGCATTAAGGACATTCGAGAGTTCAATGCTTGCTTACTAGTGAAGTGGTGGTGGAGATTTGGAAAGGAGGACAACGCCTTGTGAAAGAATGTTTTATGCTCTAAGTATGCAGTTAATGGAGGGAGCTGGATGCCTTTTATGGATGACTTACGCAAGGTTTCAAGAATTTGGGGTGACATTCTCTCAGTGACTACATGCATTCCAGATCTGAGAACTTTCTATTTATCAAATTGTATGATTGTCGCAGGGAATGGGTATAGAATCCACTTCTGGATTGATTGTTGGGCTGGCAACCAAATCTTGAAAGCTGAATTCCCAAGACTTTACTCACTGTCAGTTGAGAATTATGTCTCATTGAGTGTTGTTGTAGAAAGAAAAGGACCTTCGGAGGAGTGAGCGTTTACTTTCAGAAGAGCTCTTAGAGCTTGGGAAGCAGTAGAGCTTGGTAGGTTGTGCAATTTGTTGAATTCAATCAGTTTGACATTGTCTGAAGCGGATGATAGATTAAGTTGGGGAGCATCTTCCTCAGGAGAGTTCACTGTTGCTTCCCTCTATAATAGAAATGGGGTTGGTCTCTCATCTGTGGTGTCCTCTCTGATTTGGAATAATCTCTCCCTTCCTCCCTTCCTAGAACACAATTTTTTGGGTGGTTGGCGTGGAAGGGCAGGGTCAAGACAGTGGACTATCTTCAAAGAGTTGGTGTCCTTAATAGAAGTATTTCGGCTATGTGCAAGTTCTTTAATTCTGAAATTGAGTTTATTAACCATGTTCTCTTGTTGTGTTCGGAGGTTTGGAAGGTGTGGTCAAGTTTGGTGGATTGGTGGGGCCTCCAATGGGTTGTTCCTGGACAGTCAGGGGGCTACTGGACTGGTGGGCTGGGTTTAAGTTTAAAAAGACGGAAGGGTCCCTATAGAAATCTATCCCATTGGCTTGATGTGGTTTATTTGGAAATGCAGGAATGATTATGTCTTTCAGGAACACAACCGCAGTTGGATGTGCTTTTGGATCTTGTGAAGGTCAGGCTAGCAGTTTGGGTCAGATATCATTACCCCAGATGCGATTTTTCAGTGCATGACTTGGTGTTTAACTTGCATCAGGTCATTTTCAGCAGGGCATAGGGTGGGTTTACGCTGATTTTATTGTTGCAGGGTCGCTGTTGTTTTTTTGCTGGGGCTGGGGTGATTGGTGGGCTGGCGTAGACCTTGGTGGGTTGCTGTCATAACTAAGGGTGAATTGCTCACTGGGGGTGGGTTTGGTTTGTTTTTATTGCTTTTTGTTGTTTTTGTGCTTTGTCACCTATTGGCTTCTCACCAACCATGTGGGTAGTGCTCGCTTGTGGCGTTCTTCTTGGTGCTTCTTTAGTTTGGGACCTTGAGGTTATGCTATCATGCTTTTTTGCACTTCTCCCTTTTTACCCTACCCTATCAATACTCTCCCAAACCTTTTTTTTTTTTTTTTTTTTTTGTGTTAAAATTGAATGTTAAAATCGGATTGAGACAAATACAATCGTATTGGATAATTTTTCCATTCGCCGATTCCAACACCGTTGGGGAGAGATTTCTACCATCCAATTATCGCTATCTCCTCCTCATCTCTTCTCCACCAAGAAACAGCTCTACTTCACTATCTGTGACTCTCCAATCCTCATCGATTGTGCCACACTAGTAACCTAATCAAAGTCCTTTCAAGTCTATTTTTGTGTTAATCAAATCATCTTGAAAACTGATTTATATATGATTTTGTGCGTTTATATAGACTTGTGTATATGTGTAAGGTTGTCGATTATAATATAGGAATATCAAACTATCGAGTATTGAGAATCAGGTGACTCGATCATTAGATTTGTTAAAATTATCAACCACGTAAAAGAGTTTTATAGTAATAGAATAGTTATATTAATTGTATAAATCAAATTGTGAATCATTTATTAAGGAATATGTATATGATTTTTTTATTTCCATCTATATCAAGAAGGGTTATGCATACAATAATTTGAGGAAATTTCATTTTACAATTAGATCCTTATGCTATTAATTAGATGAATTTTATGATTGAACTTTTCGAATTGGGACCTGAATTTTTAAAAAATATAGGACATGAAAGTTTTTGATCAATTTTATAAATGAACTTTTAATCACAGACAACTGTTTTTTTGTTATCTAGTACTGTGTACCTCTTTTGCTAATACAGATCTTCATTCCATTCCCGAGCTTTGCACTTGACAAGGAGACTGGCGCTACTGGCCTGGGAGCTCAATATTGCTTGGAAAGTTAGTCCACAGCGCTGGCAATGAATATCTTTACCTGAATCAAGGTCTCCCCCCTATCTTAAAACGTGCAGTAAAGATGACATAACTTCTGGTCGATTGCCAGTTGCCAATGTCATTACTGTGCTGCTACAGTTGTTTGAGAGGTAATATAAAGATTCTGTTTATAGACAGCACGATCCAAATCAGATTAGTCATAAAAATTTACTCTTTAGTTTATGCCAATGTGCTTTGCATAGACTAGTGAAACTATTGCAGGAAGCAAGCTAGTAAGGTTGTGATGAAGTTCTTTCTTACTAAGTTACTAGTACACTGAAAAAACAAGAAGAAAAAGAAGGAAAGAAAAATCAACAAACATCAGTGGAAATTAAGATCTCTATTCAAAGTAACCACCACTGCTGACCATTGACAACCTTCAAGATACAAGCTGCTCGACATACTCAGTCACTGGCATTGCATACCCCTAACTTTCGAGTGTACCTAACAGGGTAATTCAAATTAGAATACAAATGCATCTTATGTACGTATTATGAGAAAACTAGGTTGTAATTAAGTGCCAAACCTGGCACAAGGTATAACATTACTACAAATATAGTCAGCCTTTTAGCAAGTCATTGGAGAGAGAGAAAAAAAATTGAACTTCATGCTATATTTTAGCAATACCAACCTTTATACGTCACCATTGGAGATACTATATAGTGTACAAGTCTACCCCTATGTTGTGTTTGGTTGGGAGGAATTTGGAAATAGAAAGGAAAAAACTGTGTGAAACTAAGTGAAATGTAAGTATATTTTATTCTCATTTCACTTACTTTTTCTCTTTCTCTTTCCAAATCCCTTCCCAAATTCCCCAACCAAACACAGCGTTATTATTCCACAATTTAGAGCATGTTGTATACCGCATTCACTTCCTGTCTCGTTCCACGTAACAAAACGATCCACATTCCATGTAACATGGGATGTGGCCAAACAGGAGTAGAAAACTAGGGCCATGGGGTACAGAAAGAGATTCACTCCAACAGTGCATTTTCCATTTGGATGGAGGGGTTCGTTGAGAAAAGAAAAAAAAATGGTGAGAATAAGAAACCCCTTCACTTGTTTGGATGGTTAAATAGGTGAGAAATGATGAGATTTGGTCAGAAAAGAATTGGATTTAATGAAAGTTTTCTAAAATACCAAAATTATCCTTATGAAAAAACCTAACTTATTAATATGGAAGGTTATTTTGATAAAATAAAATAAAACACTTCCCCTTTCTTTTTTCTTATTTATTCTATCCAAACAAGAATAGGTGAGAAATCACATCTTCTTCTCTTTTATTCATCCAAATATAATGGTGTAGTGAGAGACTATAATTTCTTTTATTTTCTCACCCAAGTGAGAAACCACAATCATTTTCTTTTCTCATGTCACCTCACAATCCAAACGGAGCAGAAGAGCTATGGAAAGGAAAATCATGAGAAACTACTATTGCAAATGAAATATGGCATCTCATTTTCCTTAACTTCCTCTAAACCTCGAATTCTATATTAACAGTCATATTTTGGTGTACTCACTAATAAAACATATGGAACCCTCAAATTTTTGTACTGGACCAAATTGGCCACAGGTCCTTCCTAAGCAGGTATTTAAGTGAACAAATGTCAAAAACCTGGAACACAATCATTGGTGAGTCTAATCCAATGTGATTTGGCCAACGCAATGAATAAAACTCCAAAAAGCTAGCATCCACAATTGTCATGGCTTGAGAAAGCATTCAAGAATCTCATACAAGCAAACTTTGGAAAGAACAATATCAAGAAATATACAATCAAAAAATATAACAAGGATATTCACATAGTTTGATCACAAAGTGTATGCACAAAAGAGTTCAATCCTCGAATCACTGAGGAGTATCAGAAGAGTCAAATGTATCATGTATATATAGATTTCATTATTTATAAAGAGTACATTAGAATTACACTAGAGTTATAAAGCAATTTGAAAGCACCCACAAAAACAAAAACAAAAACAAACAAAAAATTGTACTTTTCCTTCAAAGCAGAGAAACCCATGGAATTTTACTTATGTTTCGAAGTTTTTATAAGCTTGATCCAGGAATCAGCTTCAATACGCTTACAACATGGTACTGCAAGAATTATTAATACATACAAAGAACAGCAATATAAAAACAATACCCAGATGCGAATAGACATCTACAAGAAAAAGAAAAAAAAAAGCAAAAAAACTAGACTTACCTTCCCTTCATGTTTCTTCTTTCCAGATATGCTTGGTGTCGCCTCTGAACATCACCATCAGCATCACCATTTAGAAAAACTAGACTCTCCACATATGTAACCACCCTGAAACCACTAAAATCACCATAGCTTCTAACATTCCTAAATGTACTATCTTTAGGATCATAAACCAATATTTTCCGATTGTCTACCTCAATAAGAACTTCACCATTATTTGTAAAAAACAAAGGCTTCAAGCACTGCAAATCTATCAAATATGGAATGACAATCAATTTAGTCCATGATTCTTTCTTCCCATACTCTTTCATCTCCCATATCTCAACCTTCTCTCGATCCACACAACGATACACACAAAGACATTCCCTCAAAACCACCAAATCAATCATTTCATCTCCATCTCCAAAACCTACCAAATCGATCTTTTTATCAACTTCATCTCCAAAACTTAGCCGCGGAACTTCCTTCAATTTGTCTTCCACCAAATCAAAGTAAACAATGACCCAAGAACACAATTCTTTCGAAGCCATAACCCAATGAAGAACGCCATTCACAAGAACCCCACTTTGGCGAACCAAAATCGAATAACAAGGTTCACTAATCGTATTCCAAGAATTGCTTTTCGAATCATAAATCAAAACAAGGGTTTGAAAGTATTGCCAGAGAATAATCACCCTGTAATCATCAATATTGGGATCTTAACAAATTCCGCGAATTCCGAAGTCATTGAACTCAAAAGGGGGCCAAATTTCCTTGTATGCTCTGATCGATGGGTTCCACAGAACGAAGGACTTGCCGGGATTTCTGGCGAAGGGAAAGGGTTTGTGAGAAACAGACAAGAGAATCAACGCATCACAGAAACACAAGGGTTTGGTCTTCTTCAATGGAGATTGAAGTGTTTTGGGTGCGTGATCGGGGAATTGACAGGTGATGGAACGAAAGGAGTCGTGAGATGATAGTAATAGTCTCTGGGAATCGGAGGATTGGGAATTAGAGGATCGATGGAGGTGGATTTTGATGAATTGGGGGTTGGAGATCATGGTTCGCCATGATTTGCTGACGCAAATGTACTGGATTAAGGGCTGAACGGGGAGTCTGGAGAGGATGTCGAAGAGGACATCGTCTGGGAGCTTCGGCGGCGATTGAGCAATCCATTGATCATCTTGCTCGTTCTCTGCTGCTGCTGATGATTTTGCTTTGGCTTCCATTGGTATCACTCTGCTTGCTGCTCTCTCTCTCTCTCTCCTCTTTTTATTTACGCTGCGTTTTTTTTTTTTTTTTCATTATCAGGGAAAAAAGGGGTATGCGGTGTCATCGCCTCTCTCTCTCTCTCTCTCTCTCTCTCTCTCTCTCTCTCTCTCTCTCTCCTGTTTTTATTTATGCGTTTGATTAACGGATTTTGGGAAGGAATTTAGAAAATTAAAATAAATAAAAAAATTATATAAAATTATGTGAAATATGATTACATTTTATTTATATTTTATTTTATTTTAAATTTTTCAATTAAATATAATGTTAGATCATCTTTAACGTTTCATCAGGTTGTTCATCAAATTTAAATTTAATGAAAAAGGACATTTTTTAGACCTCCAATAATTTTATCAAATTGATATCAAATTGAAATGGGAGTAAAAATTTTATCAAATTGAAAAGCTGCGTCTGTTTTTATCATTTCACTGTACATTTACGTTGGGAGTGAGTCTCACCAAACAACCTGCCGACCGTCACAGGTCGTCCTTGCATACAAATAATGTTTCACTTTCTCTCATTTCACACATACGTACCTGTATCTATACGGATTATATACACAAATATATACTAAGGGTCCGTTTGGGAAGAGCTTTTTCAGGTTTTTTTGGCTATTTTAGCCACAAAAGACAAAATAGATTATTTTAGCCACAAAAAACAAAACATCACATCCAAACCATAATCATTACACTCTTCTCTCACAAAAAAAGTCAAAAAAGCCAAAAACCCTTCTCAAACCAAGCATTTTAACCCAGGCTAAAATAGCCAAAAAAGCCAAAAAGTCAAAAAGCCAACCCACTTCCTAAACGGAGGCTAATATTCACACATATACACTAATATTTTCTAGGAATAGACAGATTTCGAGCTGCATTGAAAGCAAAGACAACTTTCAGGTTTCTTCTCCATGTTTTTCCTCTGCACAGTGAAGCATTAGTGTAAGTTCACTCAGTTTTTGGTAGGTTTTTTTTTTTTTTTTTTTTTTGGGGGAGGGGGTGCCAGAGAAAGCTGCGAACTCTATTCCACCATATTCATGCATTTTCCGATTGAATCCGATGATTCATTGGTCGTTCAAGGTCCTAACTTTGTCAGTTTTTCTCAGAATTTTGATCGTTTGGGGGATTAATAAATGGAGTGTTAGTAGTTTCCATAATAATTTTCTTGTTTTCAAATTCAGTAACCAAACTCGAATTAATCGGTAACCAAACTCGAATTAATGAGAATTTGATTTATTGCCTCTGTTCATCCCAATTTAACTTTCCATGAAAACACTCACCAAATTCTGACACAAACCCAGAAAAATTTGACCTCATACGTAACCATTATCCCTCCCAATCTCACACACATCAATTTTACCCATTTTAGCTCTCAAAATTCTGTAGATCTAGCGAACCCTCCATCTCCATCTCCATCTCCATCTCCAACTTCTTTACATTGGATTTCAACTTAACTAAACCCAAATTTCAGTTGGCTTGACCAGTCGACTAGCCAATCATCTCACTCAACGTTTCTTTTGTTTTGACGCACGTTACAGTGAAACGGTTGGAACTGGCTCGTATCAGATTGAGAAAATTACCTTTCTTTTACTCAGATGTGGTGAAAATTTTACTCAACTGTTGGAGATGCTCTTAGGAATTATTTGAATGATCTAAATATATTTCTAATTTTTTATAAAAAGATGTATAATGTGAAAAAAATGTGATGTAATATAAATAAAATAAAATAAAATAAAATATGTTGAAGTAGATCATCTCAAACAACTTCTTAATTTTGGGAGAAATTTTAAGTAGATATTTGGGATAACCTATAAAAGTCAAAAAGTTAAAAAGTCAAAGCATTACTAAAAAAACTAAAAAAAATCCATATTACTTGGGGGAAACTTATGCCTTTTGAATTTAAATACCCAAAAGTCAAAATGTCAACAAAGGTAAAATGATCATTTTTCATAAAAAGTCAAAAAGTTATCTCAAACATATATTTTTTTTTCTCTACTTTTTTAGCCAAAAAGTAAAAAAAATGTACTTATATAAATCATCCCAAACAAATCGATTAAAATTTTATAAACATAGGTCTCGTTTGAAAAGTTAACTATTTTAGTTAGATTTTAGTTTTTTCATTTTTTTTTATTTTAGTCTGGTTTAAAAAGTTATATTTAAAAAATTAATTGGTTTTTTTTTTTGTTAGTATTATTTTGATGGTTGTAATGAAAAAAAAAATGAAATGATTATAAATTAAATATAATATAATATAATATTTTATTTTATTAATTATTTTAATTATTGCGACCTATTTTAACCCATAATCATCCATCCAAATACATATGTTGGTGGAGCTGGTGGGTAGATGAGAAAAATTATTGGTTGGGTTAGGGTTCGACGGGTAATCACACTTTTGGTGGTGTTTGGGAAGCCATATCCCAAATTTTTTTCTCATTTTTTTCACTAAAAGACAAAAGTTTTGCAAAACCAAAAAAAACACATCCAAACAAAATATCACATCCAACCCCATAATCATTTCACTTTTTCTCTCACAAACATCACATCCAACCACATAAAAACCCAACTATCTTCCCAAACACCAAAAATTTTTTATCTCATAAAAACCTACATCTACTAAAATCTACATAAAAACTCACTTCCCAAACACCATCATTAGTATTTTAAACTTTAAAATGATGTAACTTTTAATTAAGATATCACATTCTACTAAATTTTTTTTTTTATTTTTTATAATCCACTCATCAAGATCTATCAAATAAAATCAAATTTGGCAATGAATTTAAAAAAAAAAAAAAAGTAAAATTTTTATATAAAATAAATTCAATTTGTTCACTATTTTTCAAATCTCATTCAAAATTTAACCAAACTAATCCTCCTGAGGGAGATTATTAAGCTCTCCACATTAGCAATTCCCCCTCCCAAATCAACACCAAACAAGTTTTGGAGAGGACCCACAGCCATATCAATTCAGTCCGACCACCCATTGTAGACACTCCATTTTTGACCGACCTCAAGACTTTAACGTCATCGGTTGTACACTCGATGATTGCGCATGTTTGTGCTTATTTTAAGCGCCCAAGGGTCTCGGCTAAGTACTTTGTCTTTGAGCCTCTTAACTCTCTGTGTTTTGCCCTTGTTTTTGGGCCAAACCTTATTCCCTCTTACTTAGGAGAGGGGAAGGCCTTACCGGCCACTTGTGGCACTTGCCGGCCACTTTCCTCTCTTGTAGGCCACTTCAAGTGGTCGGCCGACTAGGGGAAGTGGCCGGCAGGCTACCTTAACTGGCCGGCGGCCAATTTTTCTCCTTTTTAGATATTTTCAGATCTTTTGAGCCAGTTGTGGCTCACTGAAACTCATCATCCATACACGTGTATGGAGGGATCAAGCAAGCGTTTTTGCTTGCTTGCTCTATATAAGGAAAGCTCCCTCTCCCTTTAGAGGGGTTGACAAAATTTCAGAGTTGAAATCTCCCTCTCTCTCTCTCTCTCTCTCTCTCTCTCTCTCGTGCTATATTGAGCTTAAAAGTGAGTTTTCTTCATACATTTGCACTAAAGCACCTAGTCAAACACCTTCACATTAGTGTTGAAGATCTTGGAGGCCTTGTTTGAGCTCCTTGGAGTTGTTTTGGCTTGGTTTTGGCTCAGAAGCTTGCTGTCTTCTTGCTTTGCTTCAAGGGTAAGAATTTCACCATTTCAAGCTTTGTTCTAAGTTCATTGCTTTGCCATCTTTGTATGCAACTTTGAAGCTGGTTTTAGTCTCAAAAGTTCTGTTTTTTAAGGTCTCTAAGTGTTGGTTGGAGCCTTGTTTGGTTAGCGGGTGTTTCCCCTCTTTTGCTCTTTGGTTTGTAAAGCCTCTTGAGCCACCTTTCTTAGCCTTTGTAATCACATTTGTTTGGCCTTTCTACCACTGAAACTTAGAGGAATTTCACTAGTAGAAAGTTGGTTTCGAGGCTCAAAATAGGGGGGGTGGTCCCCTCTCCTTGTATCTTGTTTGTATGCATAGATGGCCTATCAAGTGAGCATGTGTTTCTCCCTTTTTGAAGCTTAGTTCAAGCATGTTTTTGTGACTTTTTGGACCTGCTTTAACTTTGTTTTTGGCTGGTTTGGCCACCTATTGCTTGCTTCTTACACTTGTAGTGTAATCTTGTTTAATAGCCTTGGGTTATCTAGCATGCTTTGTTTGAATTATTTCCATGATATGGCATCATTTAGCTTGTAATTTCAGAGCTCATACCATTGTCACACTCTTGCATGTGTTACTCCCTCATTGCTTCTAAGAGTTAAGCCTTATGCCTTGCTTGTTGGCCAATTGGTATGCATGATTTTCTTGCCTTGTAAACTTCAATCTCAGCATGATTTGGCCATTGTTTTGGCATGTTTGAGGTCTGTTTTGATTTAGTTTAGCCCTTTGAGGCTTGTGTTGTAAGGTGGTGGCACAAGCCCTTTCATTAGCGTAATGAGTTAAGCCTTTGAGCATGCATTACATGAGTTGTTTGCATTGTTTCTAAGTCACCTAGTATGTTATTTCAATGCTGAAATGTGTGTCATTGCACTCCATTGTTTCAAATTTTCATTCACCTTGAAAGTGGACTTAAGCCCTTGTTGGCTTGAGCATGAACTTGAGGTATTCATGTCTATTGGTTTTAATCCTCCCTTGAGGATTTCTACTAACCAATAGCATGATACTTTCTTCATGCTTAAGGCACTCGAAGCTTAGGTCATCTTTCAAATTAGAGGACTTTTCACAATTGGACTTAACCAATTAAGGAATGGTTTGGTAATGTAAATGAGTAAACAAGAATTGAGCCGAGTAAAATATGCCAAGATAACATATGTGTGTTGCATTGCATGTGTTTGGATCAGACGTTAATCCAAACACAAGAAATGCGAGATGTTTCATACTCAAAGTGATGAAACGTGTTGCATTTCTTGGTCGCCAACACCCTTGATCATGCATGATAGGGTGGAGGCACTTTGAGTCTTACATACGCAATCACTAAGCTTGTACAAGCTTGCTTTTCGAGCCAT